GTAGCAATTGAAGTATCGAAGTGGGCAAGAGACGATGGGTAGATGATATATTTCCGTGACCCGACAAAAGGGCAAACGACAAAACCGCGCCCGACTAAACCGCGTCGCTAAAACCGCAACGTCAACAGCGCGGCGACAACAGCGCGGCGACAACAGTGCGGAGACAGAAGGGCGATTTCAGTCGACAGAGGGGCGATTTAAGTTAAGTTAAGGTTTAGGGTTAGGTTTAGGGTTAGGTTTAGGGTTAGGTTTAGGGTTAGGGTTAGGGTTAGGTTTAGGGTTAGGTTTAATGTTACGTTTAGTGTTAGGTTTAGGTTTAGGTTTAGCGTTACGTTTAGGGTTAGGTTTAGGGTTAGGTTGAGTTTTACAGCGCGCTTCTGTCGCCGCGCTGTTGTCACCGCGATTCAGCGCTCATTCATCGGAGTGCTTTAGAACACGCGGTTTTGTCACCGCGGTTTAGTCAGGTGCGGTTTTGTCGTTTGCCCTTTTGTCGGTGAACCTATATTTCTTCTTTCTTTCACTATTGTTGTTTTGACTTGCTTTTCCCTTTACCCCTCTTTTCTTTAAAGTATAGCAATTAAAGTATGAAACAGGCAAGTGATGAGGGAAGGATGATCTCTTGTGGTTCTGAGTTGTCTTTCCCTATCTCTCCCTGTCTATTCTTTTTCTTTTTCTCCCCCCCTCCCCTCTTTTTGTAATCAGATGACATGATTGCAAGTTAGATAGGAAAGAAAGAAAAAGTTTTTTTAAAAAAATAAAAAGATTAAAAGCTACAATAAGGGATAGAAATAAAGGGAATATTAATGTATTACATCTTTATTTGTTAAAATGAAAGTAATTATGAGAAATAGGTGGAATTATTGAATAATGATAGACGGTAACCTAATATAGATGTGCATTGTTATGGGAATTTCGCATGCTGATTGAATGTAATAATAATGTTTAATCTGATTAGGTTTTTTTGTATTGGAATGTATTGGGCCCAGGTGCCACACTGTTCACACATTGATTTGACATTTTTTTTATAAAAAATAAAAAACGTAAGATCAGTTGTTCTTGAAAGGTTAAGCAGATTCTACCAAGAACCAACAAAATGCACCAAGAAGCTCATTAATCTTTCAGCAGATACCGACACTCTGCTAACAAGGCTGAGCCATTGATCCCATGACTTTCATGAATGAAACCAACTGTTAGCCTCTGCTTCGCTTACTTGCTATTGGCGGACATAGAAGCGGGGAAGGTGAGGGCATGGTATTTGGGATGGGAATGAATGGTACAGGAGGTGATATGGAAAAGGGAGTATTCTTCTCACCATCTTCTGCGCATGCTGTAGCCGGTGTTTAGACCTGTTCAAGGCCATCCGTCCTGCATACCAACATGATGATGCCTTTTGGAGATGCACCCCACATGACATCTAAGGGAGTTGCAGATTGGACACTGGAGTAGGGTTATTGGAGGGAGGGGGGCTGGGTTATCATTTAATATGTACTTGTTCACGCCTTTCTGGCTCAGATCTTGCTTTACTTTCGTTGCTATCTTTTCATAACCAGTAAAAGTACACTATATTGCCAAAAGTATTCACTCACCTGCCTTTACTCGTGACCCAACAAAAGCCCGCACGTCAAAAGCATGCCGACAAAACCGCGTCGCTAAAACTGCGACGCCATCAACGCGCCGACAACAGTGCGGCGACAACAGCGCGGAGACAGAAGGGCGCTTTACAGCAACGCGTCGACAGAAAGCGGATTTAACTTAAGGTAAGGGTTAGGTTTAGGGTTAGGTTCAGGGTTAGGTTTAGCGTTACGTTTAGCGTTACATTTAGGGTTAGGTTTAGGGTTAGGTTTAGGGTTAGGTTTAGGGTTAGGTTTAGGGTTAGG